CGGCCCCTCACCACCCCCCCCCGCCGCCCCCGACGTGAAACTCCCTCCCTTACCTTGAAGAGCTAGCCCTGCCAAGCACGGTGCTGGCGGCAGCAAATTTGGCTGCCGATGTTGTGTGCAGCATTTAGGCACAACCAGCTAGGCTTGATGGGCTTAAAACATTCTACCCGGACATGCAATGACATCAGCGAACTAGGGAAACTAGGGTAATTTTGGGTCTTGTGAGCTTGTGACCTTCGGGCTCTCGCCGCGATCTCCGCCAACCCGCTCCTGGAGCACAGACAATCCATGAATCCATGCCTCAAGCTCTCATGAAAGGGAGCTGCAGCAACACACATCGACCCACACAAGTACGTAATGCAATGCCAATACAGTACTTGTCGGCATTGGCAAATGTTGGGACTCTTAGGAACGCTGGTGGGACTGAGAGATGAGATGCCCTCGGCTCGTCCTCCAGATTGCCATCGCGCCATGCTTTTGCAATCGATTTCATCTCAACACCGACGTCCGCAATAACAGCGCCTTCCTTAGCACACTCGCGCTCGCGACTCATGAAGAAATCTTGGTCCAGGTCAGCAGACAGACACGGCATGCTAACAAGGCTGCCAGGATGCCAGCAGGCCATAGCGCATTTCACACAGGTCATCCACCACGAGGCGTGTCGATGTTGGAAAGCAACGGGCTACAAGATCTGCCGATCTCACAGCTCGCCGCTGCGAGGATGAGCCGATTATGTCTGGAGCCACCAGCGTGCAAAGTTCCTGAGCCAGCTCTTCGGCTTGCTTTTCTCCATTGCTGTTTAAGTCTGACTCGTGGTCACCGCCGCAGAGCAGGCCCTTCTCGTTGGCGGTTGTCTCACCATGGCGGGCAAGGAACAGGCGAACGTGTCCTGGCGGAGCAGGCGCGAGTTCCTGCAAAGCTTTCGTTAGGGATGTGCTGACGATGATTCCTTCAAGCATCGGAACAGGCTCAAGCTTGATAGGATTCGCAGGACTCGGCCAGCTGTGCAGGAAAGGATCGGCCTGGAACGCAAGCAGTTCAGAGCCCAAAGCAGCCGCACAAAACTCACCGTCCGCAGCAATCTCTCGCTTGAGCTGCTCGGTGGTTTCAAATTTCAGCTCTGGCCGGATGTAAGCCAACACGAGCAAACGCAGGTGACAACCATAGAAGTCTTGGTCGAATCTTTGAAGAATCCAAGGTTCCACGGTCTTTGCTTGAACATCGCTGAATGTTGGGTTCCAGCCCATACTCATCGCCACCTTGTGGACCACTTGACCTCCGACGCCCTCCTCGATACTGCCCCACGCACAATAGATACCCGCGCGATGCGTCTCTGCAAACTCGCGGATGGCACACTCCTGCTCGGTTAAATCTTGAGGGGCTGCGTCCCAGCGGACCTGCATATTGGCAGTGGGGAAGCCCAGCTGCTTAGATCCACGGCCGAAGCCATGAACCACTCTTGCGCGCAGCCGCACGGGCTCAATACGCGCAAGGTGTCTCGCTTGCATGCTGAAAGTTCTAGGGATTCTAGGGGCGGCAATGTTAAAACACTCAGCCTGCTGACGTTCATTGGCGGCAAGTATGGGCGTTTCTGACTTCTTTGAATGACCACATGTTTGATGACAGTCTTGAAGCAATCATGTGAATGATGACTGTCTGCGGTGCAGGGCCAGGCAAGTATTGACTTCGGTTCCTCTTGCAGTCGGCCAGGCATCCAGCTCGAGCAATCACAAGCAACAAGCGTAAACCCTCGCCGGGCTAAGCTCTAGCATGCTTCACATATCCAGACAAAAACCTCCACAACCCTAAACCCGAAACCCTAAACCCTAGAACTCCTTCAATGTCGGGTTGGCCGGGCGGCGCATCCTTCGCCCCCGATATTGGGGGGGGGTACCTTGCTTGGGGCTCTTTTTTTATAAGGGGATCCTACTATTTCGGGGCCTATCTTCTATACTCCCCTTAGAACCTTAACAAAAACAACATCTTTAATATCCTCTTGGAGATTGTATAAACAAAATCACAAACTAATCCCCAAGGGGGATATAGTTTTTCGGGGTCCCCCCCATGTTCGTAAAAAAAAAAAAATCACTTCTAGCCGGGCTTGAATTTGTGACTGGGCGCGCCTTGTTGGCCTTGTGGACTCTGCAGTCTCCAAGACCTTGGGGTTGATGGATTCGGTTTAGGGTTTAGGGTTTAGGGTTTAGGGTTTAGGGTTTAGGGTTTAGGGTTTAGGGTTTCGACTCTCACACTGGCATAAGCGGGCTTAGGGTTTAGGGTTTAGGGTTTAGGGTTTAGGGTTTAGAGTTTAGGGTTTAGGGTTAAGGGTTAAGGGTTAGGGTTTAGGGTTTAGGCACAGCTTCAAACATGAGGACCAGGCGATCGTCTCGCAACAGATCATAAGGGAGTTTCCACTCTAGACCCCAAAGACCCTATAAACCCTAAGACTATAAACCCTACAAACCCTATCAACCTACAAACCCTATAAACCCTATAAACCCTATAAACCCTATAAACCCTATGAACCCTATAAACCCTATAAACCCTATAAACCCTATAAACCCTGTAAACCCCTAGTAACTGGGAGCCTGGCTTGGCTTTGTTCGTCCACGACTGGCCTGTCGAGGTCGCTGTCGACTGTTGCCAGTAGTCGTTTTTCCTTAGTAGCCCAGTAACCCTAAACCCTCAACCCTAAACCCTAAACCCCCCCAAAAAAAGGGTAGGGTATGGGCTACCAAGTTTCTGGGTGGGAGCCGCCGGTGGCTCCGATTCTGCGCCGCGCTGAAATCGCCTGGCAGACAGGGGCCCCAAAGAGCTCAAACCCTAAACACTAAACCCTAAACCCTAAACCCTAAACCCTCAATGAAGGGATATGCCTCCAATGATAGTAAGGAATCTCTTCGCAGTTCAAGGGATCTCTTCATAGTTCAAGGTATATTCCTTAGTTAAGGGGTCTTGGGCTCTCTGGCGCCTTCTATGGCCTTCTCATACCTGTCGCTTTCACCATCTGGGATCATAAGAGGCTGTAGCATGTGAAGCAGGTGTTATGTTTGTGTTACTGGTGAGTGTATCTAGGGAGACTATATAGTTCCAGAAACCCTACTTCGCGAAGGATTTTGTAGCTTTGACATTTGGTTGATGAACTGCCCTTGGCTTGGCAGGAACCGTGCTGAACCAACTTCATGCTGGCGATATGAGGGTTCCGATTAGGGTGCCTATTCGTACCACCACATCTAGTGGAGTCTCCCCTTGAAAGAACCCCCAAAAAAGGACCCAAATTTCTCGGAAGCCCGCAATGACTTCACAATGCAGCACATCACCACATCCAAAATGTGCCGTGCAGGACCAACCAGGCGACGCTGTCGATGAAGCTGTTGACTTCCAATTGTCAGACCTTCTCTGCTCACCGCAAAGGCCGCGCAGAGCTGAAAAGCTGCATCTTTGCATGATTGTCAACAAGCTCATGGAGACATCCGAGAATTGTGTCAGTGATGAGGCGCATGCACAGCATCAACTGAGGTCAGAACTGGCTCGACTGCTTCCATTGATCAGTGTAGATGTTGCCCCCGTTCGAGCTGTTGTAGTCAGTTTTCTGAGTGTCGTAGCCATAGCTCTTTCCATTGCCGTAACCATAGCCGTTGTTCGACTTGTCCTGCTTGTGGGGTCTGATGCCACGCATCATCATGCGCACAGGCTCATGTTTTGCTGGGCTCGGCATATCAGTTAGGCAGTGCTTCGGCGGTGGCCGCTCGACATCATGTGACACTCGCTTCAAGGATTTACACATTCACCTTTCATTTGGGGAGGCTCCCCCCGTTGCAGCTGCCTGGTACCACTCCTCCTTTGGAGCCTGCAGGTCGAGCTCTCTCTCCAGCATCATCCACAGGCTACTGATTTGGCGTGCCGGAGGTCTGAAAAGAAACTGTTCACATGCAGGATGACGGACTTTCCCGTGCTCCTCTCATCAACATGATGATTGGCTAAGGTTTCTCGCAGCATGCGGTTATATTTTAGGTCACGCACCCGCAGACGTATCAGGCGTCTGCCAGCTAAGGCAGGCACTGAGCCACCACCGCTGCTGCCCCAATCTGCAGCGCAACGAGCTCAGAGTGAGTGTTTCTGCGTGCGCTCTTTGTCAGTGGCCGTGATCTGAGATCTGTACTAGACTCTTCGTCAAGCCAAAGAGGTCTGGACATGTTGTGTGTTGAGCTGTTCTCCCAAAGCCATGAGAAAGTTCCATGGCTAGACAGTGCACAACATACTCAAATTCACCGAACACCTCGCTGAAGAATCCTCCCTACAGCATCTGTGCTCGTATGCGCCCCTTACCCTAAACCCTAAACCCCAAACCCTAAACCATTAGAGTGCGGTCGAAAGTAATAGCGCCTCCACCACTCTGATGCACCGTGATGTGCCACTCCCCGGTCTGCGAGTTGCCGGACCTGGTGCTTCGGAAAATTTCTGAGTGGCTTCTGGGTTTACGGTTTAGGGTTTAGGGTTTAGGGTTTGGGGTTTAGGGTTTAGGGTTCTGCCTCAGGTGCTGGGCTCAAGGGTGGGTAGTTCAGGGCTTGGACCCTCACACTGAACACCAAGGGCCAGGCAGTGCGAATCGTGGCCGCCCAGTTCCTGAGTTCGAAAGTCTCCCGTCGCTCTACACATAAATACAGAGGACTTCAAGCCCGACCTCTGTAGTTTCACTTTCTGGCCTGTCCGAGTCTGAAGCATCCGAAGCCGGTGCCGCGGAACTGCTTTTCAGCGCCCCGTTACTGTCCTCTTAACGCACGGCAACCCACGGCCACCCCCCACCCAAAAACCACGATGCACAACGCACTGTAGCCCGGCATGCTTGAAAAAGGCCTCTCGGCAAGCCATTCCCTAAATTAAGGTGCCCGCGTCCGCAGGTCATGTTGGTGCGGACTGCGTTCAGCACATCATCTTCCGTTATGCCTGGTGCATAGGGGACATGGACAGCCAGGACATGCCATGATCATGATCGGGAACCTCGGAAACTTTAACAAAACATGCTGCACTTTCGATGGTGCACCGCAACATATGTACCGCTACTAAGACGCCCGCAGCTCACTGAAGGTGTATTCCATAATTTTTGTTTAAGCTTCTTGACTTTAGGGTGACCTGGAGCTGCTTGAAGAGTGCTTGGCCTTGGCTGTTGCCCCAGGCTTCCATGAGGTTGGTCAAGGAGAGCGTCCTGGCAAAGGCACACACACACACTGCGGGGCACAGAATATTTGGTGATACTTAATATTTGGCAAGGAGTCTTCGGCTCTGAGTGGGATACTCAATTTTCCCCGTCTGTCAAACCAAACAGCCCTCGGCTTGTTCGGCTGTGATCTGCACACCTCGCTTGCTGGACAATTACCCGTAAACCAACAACACCAAGCACTGGCATTGCGCGTTGAAAGGTCCCGTTGCCATCGACGTAAAGACCTTTCGGCCTGGCACTCGCGAACTGAGTTCTAAACAGCGGGGATCCGGGAGCTGAAACACAGCTGTTTTCTGGCATCCTGGCGTCCTATTAACCCGCGTTGTTCACTGACATGCCTTGAACATCCTTGAACATGCACATCAAGGGGTGGCTGCTGGCTCTTTGCATTGGGGGATGGGCTAGTAGCAACAGCCAACATCAGGCTTCAGCACGTTCTGCAAAGCTCGTGTGGCAGAATCTCCGAATAGCGCTGCCAACGTAGAAGGGTCAAGCCACCCCCGCCTTTTGTCGTGATATCTTCCCAGGACTGCCAGCTTCTTGGAGATCCACTGCAGGGTGTCGTTCTTCTTCCTGAGCTTCTGCAATCTTCTGCACAGGCCGAAGACTGAAAAAGAAGACGTGAGACATCTATACCTAGCATCCCAAAGGTGCCCACCCTCTGGCACCTTTGGGATGCTTCCTTCAACTGCAACTCCTCTCTAGGCAAAGGTGTGTTGCGAGCCGTTTGGGGGCAGACTTGCGAGGACGTCGGAGGAGAGCTGGGGGCCATCGAAAGACAGGAGCCACTGCATTCACAAGGCGTGGGAAGGATGGCCCAGAATGAGGGCTTTGTGTACCAGTAGGAGACCCAGAGCCTTGCAGCTTCAAGATGCCCTAAGCCCTAAACCCCTTCTTGAACCCAGACTCCTGAAGTCAGCTGGGAAAGGCCTTTGACAAACTCTAAACCTTAAACCCTAACACTACAGTGAGAGTTCCTGCTCAGGGCCGGAATCGGCTCGGGAGCCCCGCTGTTGTAGGGGGGACCTACAAGTAGAACCCCTCAAAAGCCCTTCAGACCCCTGCAGCCAGGAGTCGGGGAGCGGGATCGGTGCTCCCAACCCATGGCCTGGGCAATGCTACGCAATGAGCCTGATGGCATACTTCTCGTTGATGTGGGCTGCATCGAACCCGCTACCCAAAGCGCCCAATACACCTTAATTAAGGAATACTCCTTAAATCATAATAAGTATATGCCTTTATTAAGGGGCGTCGGGCTCTCTGGGTAATCACCACCATCACGTTGGGAGGGGCTTTGGGGACGACATTTCAGCAAGCCAGCGACGCCATTCATAGCATTCCGAGGCACGCTGACTCTTCAGCTGCACCACGTCCAGCAGGGCTTGGGCTTTAACCCAGATTCAGTCAGTATGCAAATTGAAGTACCTGATGCTTGCTCGAACATGCCTGTCAGCATCTTTCTCATTCTTGAATGTGTGCGACTCATGCTGCAGCTAGCCCTCATCGATGTGGCCACAGCATCAGCATATGTCAACTTGTGTCTTAGGCTGAACAACGTCAATGCGCAAAGCTCTGTGTGTTGGCGGCAACGCTTGACATCATTTCATATGCGCTCCTTGCGCCTGTAGGCCAAGAAGGTCAGCAACACATGGCACCGCATCAATCTTCCCGCTCTACTTTCAAAGCTTGCGCTTCGCAGCCTGAAGCCGGCACGAAGTGCGCAATCCAAATCTCCCCTGTCCCGCTGTGCAAAAGCAACGGCAACTTTTGATCAGAAAAGCCACTCCAAGCATGTTCATCCTGCTGCGATCGGCTGGCAAGCAGATGTTCTTCGATGCTGCGGTGGTGCTTTGCCACCCCTGCTGCGTACACTAACACACCATCGCCAGGGCCTCACCTGAATATCCGAAATACTACGCTCTGCATAAGCAAGCCCCTAGACTCGGACCAGCTCATCACACGCACCGAAATCTGGACTTTTGCATGCCTAATCAAGTCTTCTCTCGTGAAGAAATTGGCGGGGGTTGGGCAGGCAATGGAGCACGGCTGACTCCTGTCTGGAACATCACCGGCAACTCTTCTTGCTGCATAACCGATCACATCCACATCCCCCAAAACACGCAATGATGTGCGTCCCCACATCCCCAGGCCAAGCCGCCAAAGCCTTTTTTGGATTCTAATGTACCCTACACACTAAACCCCGGAAGGCGCAACATGGCGAGGGCGAGGACCCGCGGTCAGCTCGGCTTCTTGGGCTGCGCCTCCATCATGCGGACATGAACCTGGCAACAGACTCAGCCCATTCTTCAACGCACGTCCGCGATCACCAGGCAAATAACCAGCCATCATGAACTTCCACAGGGCAACAACCCAGAGGACAAGACAGAAGAGACATGAATAGACCACTCTTACAGCAAAAGGTTGGAGTTTGCGCCGTGTGTTGGACTGGCGTGAAAGCTGCAGGCCGCATCCACTTCATAAAGCACTGCAAGCTCAGCGCATGCAATGTGAGCCCTGTGTAACAAATCGCTAAATATGGGGGGGGGGGGAGGAAGGGGGGGGGAGGAAGGGGGGGAAGGGGGGGGTTCCGAAAATTAGGGTAGCCTCTTGGGGTTCCGATTTCAGGATTCTAGTATTTAGGGGTGTATTAGAGATACCCTATTTTGGGAAATAGCCATATCTTGCTGATGGGCTATGAGTCTCCTGGGTGCGCTGTTTTGTTGGCCTGCCAGCCGCCCGTTCTCGGATCACAGCACGCAACGCCCTGATTAAACCAGTTTGAAGGCATACAGTGTCGGCAGAAGGCAGCCGCGGCTCTCACAAGTGCTCTTTACGTCCTACAAAAGCTCCGTAGCATTCCTAGACTTCACGGGGCGAGTCGTCTCTTAACGCAACTCCAAGCCCCGCATCTCACCGACCTGAGTTGGCGTCGATCTTGCACCAGTTATCGAGTTACCTTCGACATAGCCTGATAGCCACAAGCTCCCGCCGCACGAAGTCGAGTACCCTGATAACGGAACCTCAAGTCCCGCTTCCTCATTGTTTGAGCTGCATCGGCGAGACTTGAACGGAGAAGCATCTGTGCTGTGGACCATCCCTTGCTTCAACTGACAACCCCAACGAAGAACTACTCTCGTTTCCAGCGGCCGCTGACAAAGGAAACCGTAACCGTGCTTGAAACGTTGTCTTCAGTCTTCTGTTGTTCAAGCTTTTGCTCCACTCACAGTTGCCGGCGTCGAGCAGTAGAAAACACTGCTGGGTAACCCTCCATCCGCGTCTGGGATTGTTCAAGCTCTAGCTGGTGAAGGTTTCAGGATGCGGAGGGATACCATCGTCTCGCGATGCACAGTGTCAGGCTCATGGCTAGCTGCAGAAGTTGCCGGTTCACCTTGGCTCTGCCAGGCTGGCCGATGCTGGAAACTCTAACACATGGAAGCATGAAAAACATGCCGTTCTGATTCCACAAGTGCTTGCAAACAGTGGGAGAGTAGAGACACAGCGCGTTGGAAATGCTGCCGAAAGTGCAATCGTCTCTGCAGGCTAGTCCAGCACCAGCGCGGCTGCCTCCGTGGCATGGTTTCGCGAGGTCTCTGACTGTCCTTTCTGTGCTTCTTTGCATCGCGAGCATGACGCAGTAAGTTATTGATCGGACTTCAGCCAAGAATAAACCTCGGAAGCGAACCTAGCGGCGCGCACTACACATCGGCAAATACGGCAAAGCGCGCGCAGCAAAACCATGATGGCGTTCGCATGCATACCTGAATTCATCCTGAAACACTGCAGCATTTCATGGGCGCAATGCTTTTGTTGACGGCTGCTTCTTGCTTACGGTATTCCAGAGGCAACAGAAGACACGTGTGTGTTGTGCTGTCTGTTGTCACAGCTTTGAGAGACGACTTCTTGCTGTTCCACCCGCGGTCTCCGAAGTATCATGTAACAGATCTGGCTTCAGTAAACAGATTCTATAGGACTGAAAAAGATGGAGGTTCTGGGCTTATGAAGCCGGAAATACTTCTTAAACCACCCAGAGAGCCCTTTGTGCTCTGAAGTAGGGAATATTTTCTTAAGTATATATATATATATATATATTCCTCAATTACGGGGTATAAATAGGACTCTTTGGGCATGCCATGGCCAGAAAGGCCGATCGCTACTTCTCTCCTCTTCTCTCCTCTTCTCTCCTCTTCTCTCCCTGGCCCCCGTTGTCCGCGGCCTCATGAGCTGTGCCCTCAGCCAGGGCGCCTTGCGCAGCAGCAGCCGCAGAGACTGCAGGGACTGCCTCCAGACCATCGCAGCACATTCAACTCAAAGTTGAGGGTTTTGCACACCTGCCTTGTAGAGTGGCGCAGAACACTGCAGCTTTTTTGTTGCTGCACGTGGGGGAAGTTGGTGACTGACTTGCCCAGCCTTTCAATGAGGCCCTTCAGTGCACTGCCTGCTGCTCAGGCTTTGTTTCGCCGCCCTCTCAACAAGGGTTGGTGGGTCATCTTGCAGTGCCCCACCTTCATGTTTCGCCGTGCAGTTCAAGGTCTGATCCGTAGTCAGGTTACCGCACTTCACACACATCTTTTTGCAAATAACCACGTAGCACTCTCGAAAGGTGCTACTCCGCTCTGCAGGGTCCAAATTGGGGATGTAGAGAAGGATGGTCTGGGTGCGCCACTCCAGTAGCCACCCATGTCATGCTCCTTTGTTCCCCTTGTCGACTGGAGATCCCTTTCGAAACGCACTTTGGGCTGGAGGTCGTTGTCATGTCATTCCCAAGATTAAGCTCAAGAAGCGTTGGCAAATATTAAACACTTTTGCATCCAGCGAACTAGTCATTCCCCTTTCTGATCCCTCCCTCAGCCCAGGCTGAGTAATTAGCACATTAACATTGGCTAGGACAGCAACCTTTTTTTCACAAGGGACTCGACTGCAACCTGATGAGTGCTTTTCTCCAACAGCTTCTAGAAAACCACCCTGCTCGCACAGACACCCACGCCCTTGTCAAAACGGTGCCTCGCGCTCTACGCTTGGGGGCTCTGCTGGCGGGGGCGGCGGCCCAGGCGGCGTGCCGGGCAACGGCCCAGGCAAGCCGGGATTCGTAGCCAGCAGCGGTGAGGCCCCTGGTGGCCGCACACCATTGCTGTGCAGCCTAGGGGTCCAACATTATGTGTCAGCACTCGCACTCGAAAACACCTCTGCTGCTACTGACTGTGAAGACACAGATTCATATGACGGGATTGCACCTGATGCGCGCCTTACAGATCCTCCGTATTGCGCCGGATCTTTCAAAAACAAGCTTCGCGCAATCCCATGCAGCGCGAGGGAGGGGAGATGGCCATGCGATGTCGAAAACGGGTGCTAAGCGAACTGTGGCTCAAACTTTGACTCAGCTTGCTCTCTTTGCCAAGTCGCGATGGAGGACCCCAGGCACCTTGGCAAACATGTCACCGTTTCCGGCTCCCTAAAGAGTCGCGTAGGGCTTCTGCAGGACTTGAGGTAAGTTTGCTCGTCCATCCACGCCTGGAAAGCCTTTCTTTCACAAGGGACTCGACTGCTGCCCTTTCTGCCCCAGCCCGTGCAAAGCCTTGCTTCCCAAATTCCTGCAGGCATCAAGCCATGAGGCTCTGGAGTGGTGGTGGGTAGCTGGAAGGCGGTGGGTAGCTGGCAGGCGGTGGGAACCAAGAGGGAGGCGGAGCCGTCGACCAGGCGGATGGCACCTCGATGCAGTGGTCGATGGGCGATGTGATTTCTTTTTGGGTTTGCCTAGGGGTGATTGATCATACTCTTTTCTTCTTATTCATAATAATAATAATAGCAATACGATCGCTTCCCTCCCCAACAAACAAGCCTCCATGAACAAGGCGCAGCCCCTAAGGCTGCCCCGCAGTGGAGAACGGGATCTGTATCGGGCTGCTTAGACTTGAGAGCTGGCCGACAGCCCATGTCTGACATTGGTGGGGAACACGGGGACCACATCTTCTTAGGCGCACCCGCGAACTGCGGCTCCCAAGTTCGCAGCTCGCGTTCAGGCTCTTGTCCGTTGACGTTCTATCTTACGTTTGTTCACGTGTGCGTACAGGAAGAGCCGATGACATGCACGATGCATCTTATGAGAAGCATGAAACCCACAAGCAAATCGCAGATGTCTTGGCATTAAGACAAAGAAGTGCCCAGGGAACATAGATTCCCTATCCATAAGCTAGGTGAATCTCATCCTGTCTTCATACTGCGTTTATCGGAAGTCCTTTGGTGGGCAAGAAAACCCAAGTTTTGTAATGTTTAGAGGTGCAACCTGGTAATTACGAAAGGGGCCAAAAAAGAGCGCTACTGAATGCTACTGAAGAGAGGCTATCTTTTTAGAGAAGCTCCCAAGGCCAGACCGCGCGACAGTTTCTTCAATGCACCCCATCGGAACTGAGGTGCAAGGAAGCACAAAGCAATGTGTTTCAACGATGCCTTGAATGCCTTGCAGTCGGCGCGTGCAGGGGCGCAGCCAAAGAATCTACGAAAGCCCACATCACCTGTTGAAAGAGTCTCACCTCCCATTACTTTGTTATGCCCCCTGCAAGCCGACAAGTAGCTTCACAAAATGCGCCCCAAATAAGGTTGTAGCCAGCGAAAATTACCGGTACCCAAATTCTTTACAACCCTCCCCGAGAACTTGAGCACACAAAATGGAAAGTGCCTAAGGATCTTCGGCACCCCCTTGACAGTGAGGGTGCTCCTGCATATGATTTAAGGTGTATTCCTTCATTGAGCGGTATTGGGCTCTCTGGAGAAGGAGGATTTAGGGACTCCATTGATGAAGGGGCATGGATATACAAAGATACCCTACACGCGGCAGTTGACCGAAGGTTGCGCGCTGAGTACATAAGTGTGTAAACAATGGAAGGCAACGCGTTGCTAAAAAGCCGGAGCCGGCTAGTGGACGTGAAGTGCCATGACATGCCCTTGGGCTCCGCACCGATTGTGTCCCACAGGGCGCTACGGCACGCACCGAAGCGGTGTAGCTACCCGTTGGCTGTAGGTTGCCGACCTCATGGGCTCATGTGGCTCGTCTGTGATAGAGCACTGAAGTTCGAAAAAAACACCCTCGCTACACAAAACCATGAAAACTACATGAAAGAGCTGCTACAAAGGCACTCTTAGCTCGACGAGCACTTCCCGCAGATTGTCGGGCACGGCTCCTCGCAAGATGGTCAGAATCACATGTTAAAGGGTGCACCCTTCACCCATCCGCGAGATTCTGTTTGGGAAAGCATTTAAGCCGGGCAGCTGTGGAAGCTCTCCAGCG